GGTCTGACCTGCTCTGTTTGGAAAGCTGTGAGACAACTGTTGTTGTGATGTGGCGCTATATAAATAAAATTGAATTGAATTGAATTGAATTGAATGACAGAGAGATGGATAACAACCATACACAGTTCTCCACAGTTTCTACTTCCCGTGCTGACCGTGTTGCTGCTGGTCACCAGCGGTTTGTCACCAGCAGGTGTGTGAGGCTGGGAGTGGAACCAGTTTAGGAATGTGTATCGTTTGCTGGTGAGCAATGTGCTTGACTTTGGGCCTAAACTTCATCAGAAGCGTACACAACCAACTGGATTAGATACAGCAGTTGGTGGCTAGTTATCAGCTTCATTTCAACTTAAAAAAAAGAAAAGATAAAAAGAAACAAATATATATACAGTGGGGGAAATAAGTATTTGAGCCCTTGCTGATTTTGCAGGTTTGCCCACTTACGAAGAATGCTTATTTTTCCTCATCAGATGGTTATCAATTTTTATAAATTCATATGATGTGATTTTCTGGAATTTTCTTTGGGATTCTGTCTTTCACTGTTAGAATGTACATATGATTAAAGTTATAGATCGTTGCATTCTTTGTAAGTGGGCAAACCTGCAGAATCAGCAAGGGGTCAAAGACTTATTTCCCCCACTGTATTTATTTATCTAGTTCTATTAATATGTATAGAAATGATAATAATTGAATTCCATTTTACATAAAATATAATATAGATATAAAATGGATCATGTCTATAATTCCATATTATATAAAATTCCATTTTATTTGATTAAAAAATATATATATTTTATGTGTATTTTTAAATTTCATATATATGTGTGTAAAAAAAAATCAATAAATGTGGTGACAAAAAGTTTGCATAACAGGAAGTGATGCACTTTTTGTTTTGTTTTAATGCATTGTTCAGCATGTCCAGTTTGACTTAAGTCAAACTCAAGTTGACTGATAGTTTTTTAGCCTGGGAGTGTGAAGGAAAAACAGAAAAACAGAAACGAGATGGCAAAGCTCAACCCAAACACGTCTGCTCCCAACCGTACAGCTCCATTATAAAAGACCACACCATGCAATGTCCATTTCAGTTCAAAAAGCAAGTTTGTGTGAGAGGTTAAGCCCCATTCCCAAACCTGCCTGTTGAATCATTCTAAACGCACTCCATCTCTTTCCTGTTGTGTGATTTAACCACGCTGGATGGACCAGCTTTGACTTCCTTTCTGTTGTAATTATTACCCAAAAATCACTTTAATGACTAACACTGTCAAGTTCACTTCCAGGGCCACGCAGAGAGAGTCAAATCCAAACAACAAAAAAAAAGCACCGTTATCTCCTCATAGCTCCACATTCCTGCCTGGACCTGCTCCCTTTGGGGAATCGGCGGGGTTTGTTTTCCACGCGAGCCTTCAGGTGAGATGCCACTTACCCGATCTGAGCTTTTCTCTCTCCAGGATTTACCCGGAAAAGGTCCGGCTTTCAAAGCGGTCCATGAGCAGGTCAGCTTCTCTATCCACTTGGACTTGAGGGAAAAGCTGGTGTCTGCGGCCAGTGTAACTCAGTCCGACTCCCCCAGTCCTCTTTGTGTTCTCAGCTCCGCATCGCAGCGTCGTGTTTTCAGCCAGTGTGTGAGTCCGCTCATCTAAATGACCACTACACTTCCTCCGATTCTTTCCCGACTTAGTTTTCCTGCCCGCGTCGGCCGAAAGCGTTCTAAATATAGGGACCACACAAGGTAGAGAAGGG